GCCCCCGGAGCCCCAGGGACCCCCAGAGGCCCCGGAGCCCCAGGGACCCCCGGAGCCCCCAGAGCCCCCAGAGCCCCTGGGCCAAGGGGACGAGGAGCCGGCGCCGCCTCTCGCCCTGGAGCAGGAGGAGGAGGAGGAGGATGCAGTAAGTGGGAGCCCTGTGGGGGTGGGCACCACTGCCAAGCCCCTCCCTCCCGCCTTGTCCTGCCTTAAAACGGAGGGTGGCCTCTCCGCTCGGTCCACGACAGGGCAGCGAGAGGCACCCGCTGCTCGGGGGGCACCCACACGGCCCCCAATGCCCCCCCACTGCCCCAGCTGGCCTGCATGTGGTGACACGTGGTGCTGAGCGGGCTGCTGCCCCGGGGGCACCCGCATTGCCCCCAATGCCCCCCCCCCCCAGCTGGCCTGCATCCGGCGACGCGTGGCGCTGAGCGGGCTGCGGGAGCACGAGTGGACGGCGGAGCACAGCGCCGCCGCCGCGCGCTTCCTGCAGGACGGCTCCACGCAGCTGCTCGTGGTGTACGTGGACCCGGCCACGGGGCTGCAGGTGCGGCACACCATGCCGCCGCAGGTGGGTGACACACGCGGCGCCGGCGCGCGGGGCGGCCCCGCGGCGCCGCCGCACACGGTGACGCCGGCGCCGCGCAGGAGCCGGAGCAGCTGGCCTTCTTCGTGCGCCTGGGCACGGAGCAGGTGGCGGCGCGCGGGCTGGGCCGCGCCGTGCACTTCGGCACCGTGCGGCGGCCCTGCCTCGAGGCGCTGCGGCGCCTGCTCGAGGCGCTGCTGCTGCCGCGCCTGCTGCGCGGCACCGCCTGGCCCGAGAGCGTGCGCGCCGACTTCTTCGCCGAGCTCTACCACTTCATGACCTCGCTGACGGGTAGGCGGCGGGCGCCCGCGCTGGGGCCGCCGCCGGCACCGCCGCCTCACCTGGGTCCCCCCCGCAGACACCTGCTCGCGCCTGCGCGGCCGCACCGTGCTCTACGTGCCCGTGGAGGCCCTGAGCGTGGAGCCGCAGGCGGCCGCCGCCG